CAAAGACCAAGCCTCATTGAAGGGCACCGGTTCAAATACCGAAACCATTACCGGCTCAGTGACAGGCCTGCCGAATAACTTAATTGCAGAAACAATTATCTTAATGAAGCTACTCGCCTTAATTAGCAGCAGAAACCGGGTAATTTAGTAAGAAACAGTTGTCAGCACAGAGTCATTTGGCACAAATGAATCAACATTTCGAACCACCCAAAAATAGAAGCTTTTGTAGTAAAGTGTATATATGTTTGTGCACCAGCTGCGACCTATGATTTCCAAAGGATTGCAATACTAAAGTGGGCCAATGCAGTCTGATTCGAGTTGATTAAAATGGTGGTGTGAAAAGCTCCCTCTGCTCAGCAAGCTCCGCCCTGCCCACCCCACCATCGGCGATTGAGCCTTCAGCCCTCTCTGCCCTCACCCTTTGGAACTCCATCCCACAGGGGTGGGGAGGGGTGGGGGGGAAGGTGACCAAAGGTGCGGTTGAAAAGAAAGGTTTTCACCGAGACCTGAAAATAGGAAGAGAGGGGACGAGATGAAGGGAGTGAGGAAGGCAGTTCCAGAGCCTCGGGGCGTAGTGGCTGAAGGCACGGCCGCCGAGGGTGGAGCGGAGGACTCGGGGGACGAGGAGGAGGCCAGACATGGAGGAGCGAAGGCAACGGGTACTGTTTTGAGGAGAGAAGAGGTCAGAGAGGTCGGGGGGTGCAGAGGAGTGGAGGGATTTGAAGACGAGGGTGAGGATCTTGAAGTCGATCCTCTCTGGGACAGGCAGCCGGTGCAGTCTGGCCAGGACTGGGGGGATCGGGGAGAGGGGTTTGGTGCGGGAGAGAATGTGGGCGGCAGAGGTTTGAATGATCTGGATTTTATGGATGGCAGTGGAGGGGAGGCCGTCGAGGAGGGCGTTAGAGTAGTCCAGCCGAGAGTGACAAGGACATGAACCAGGGCTTCTGCGGCTTTTGGAGTGAGGTATTGGCAGAGACGGGCGATGCGTCGGAGGTGGAAGAAAGCGGTGCTGGTGAGGGACAGGATGTGGGGGAGGGAAGATAATTGGGGGTCGAACCTGATGTCTAAGTTGCGTACAGGTTCAGAGAGTTTTAAGGGGAGGTTGGATAGGTGGAGGAAGTGAGAACTGTGAGATTTTAGACGTCGTACTTATCTCCAAGCTCAGTCGAACCGTTGCTCTGACACAAAATGTGCTTGTAGCCAGTGGGAGGTGATCATTTGGTCCATTTCTCGAAGAAACAGAGGATTCAGCCCAATCGAGACCTGTTCCACCAGTTTATTACATCACGGCAGGTCTTATAGTAATATTAGTAATAATCCTTGCATTTGATATATTGCCTTATCACATCTTCGAGACGTCTCAAAAGCGCTTCTCTGTGAAAGTGAAATGCCTGTGTATTTTGTGGGTGAAACGCGGCAGCCAATTGCGCACTGCAGATTTAATCCCACTGTCGTGCCTTTTCTTCTTATCCCGTTACACCATCACAATATCTGAAGCAACGTTGCCTGCACTCGCGTCGAACCATTTCCTCCGCTCTTTACCAATGAGTACACTGTACCTCGTTTCGCCCACAAAATACGCAGTCACTCCACCTTACAGTGCATTCTGCGAAGCGCTTTGAGACGTCTCGAAGACAGGATAAGGCGCTGTATCAAATGCAAGGATTATTATTATTATTATTATCCATATCTGTCTTGGTTCCTAACCCAACCAACCATTGGCTCTTGAAGCCAGCACCAAAACCCTACCTCTCGTGGTGGGAAGGCATTCAGAACTAATCTGCGGAAACTTCAGTGAGCGAGGAGTAAAATTATGGAGCGGGCTCCCGAGGGAGACAGACGGTGGAAGCAGCAAGTGTCGTTTGTTTCAAGAACAAACAGGATCGATTTCTGCTAGAAAATAATATCTGGGGCATACAGTGTAGAGTTTGGGGACACGACATGTCAAGCGACTGGTGGAAGGCGAACGAGACGGACCTCGGTTTTGCAGGTTCGTATGTTCTGATGTTTCCCCCACGGTGTTTGCTGACACTTGGTGTGACTAAGTGACACAGGAGTGAGCGCAATGGCACAAATTCTAATACTTTCTTACAAAATGTCATCTTATACACCTAGGAGAGAGGAGCAGAAGCCTGGGGTGTTTCAGCATGTCCTCAGCCACAGACTACAGATGAGCCCAAACCGCACTGTATTATGCATGAGATGATAAGATTCCCTGTTTTGGCCTCATGCTTGTGTTTTTTTTTAGTCAAAGCGAATTCCTGTTCGACTCGGGGTGGAGGGAAGGGGGGGGGGGGAAAAAAAGGCAGTTGACTTTTGTAAGACTAAGTGATTGATTGAATTGAATTTTAAAGTGATGCAAACTGAGTTTTCAGCCCCAGAGGTTCAGTAGGTAAGTCTGACACTGAGCCACAAAGAGCAGGAAAATGCCCACTCACTTTGCTGTGTTCACTCATTTTAGTCACAGTGTCGGTCGTTGGTTCCCCCTATTAATAATACTACGAATAATAATGATCATTGCATTTGATAAAGCGCCTATTCGCGTCTTTGAGGCGTCTCAAAGGGCTTCTTCGCAGCACGTACTGTAATGTGAATTGACTGTATTTTGTGGGCGAAACATTTTGAAGACATTTTGTAAGAAAGTATTTTTTAATAAAGGTGGCAGCCAACTTCGCACAGCAGCGTCCCACAAACACTCAACCCACGGCTGTTTGTGAGACACCGCTGTGCGCAATTGGCTGCTGCGTTTCACCCACGTGCTACATCAAACGCAAGGATTATTATTATAATGATTATTATTTCGAAGAGTAGAGCAGTTCCTGCTGTTGAGCACAAACAGGAACAGCCTCTCTGTGAGTAAGTGATTTCCCTGTGAGAGGATAGTGAGAGGAAGTCACTTTCTCAGTGGGCCTCTGTAAAGCGAGTGTTATTATTCGGAAGGTGTTGTTTCTATGGCTGTGTTTTGTGGGGAGGATATAGGCTGTTGTAATTTTTGCACCACTTCTTCACAGCTACTAAATAATGTAAATTGTCGTCATTTGACTTTAAATGGGTCGCATTTTGGGTGAGGAACTTATTATGCAAGAAAAGTCTTGATGCTTAATTGAAACGAGGAGCCATTTATCTTCTCGTCTGATTATATCTGATTGCAAATGGAGACCCTTATGCAAATTGAATGAGCAAGCATTTATGATTAGTAATTGCTGGTAAATATTATCTGCCGGGTGAATTTTAAGAAAGGCTGGGGAGAGTGAAGTGAGTGAAACACGCCTCTGGTGACCGAGCAGTGAGTAGGAAACCGGTTGGTGGAGATTGTTTTTCCGGGGGGTAATAAATCATCCCTTCAATAAATAAATAAAATAATAATGTGGTCCCTCAATCCACCACTGTTTGTGGGGACGCTGCTGTGCGCAATCGGCTGCCGCGTTTCGCCCACAAAAATATACAGTCAATTCACTTTACAGTGTATCCTGTGAAGCGCTTTGAGACGTCTTGAAGATGTGATCAGGCGCTGTATCAAATGCGAGGATTATTATTATCATTAATATTATAAATAACTCATACAGACAGCGTCAGGGACATACTGGGAGAAGGCATCTGTGTGTGAGATAGACACTGATGAGTTTAGACCCATCTTGGGCTATTGACTGACAATCTGTTGGCCTGAGGTCAACCGACACAATGAACTCTTGGAGAAATCTCATATCAACTGCTGTCAGCCAGTAAAGCACACACACACAGAGACACGCACACTCACAATGGACCCAGAGACACGCACACACACACACAACGCGTATAGAGAGAGACATACACACACACATATCCACACCCACATACACAACGGACCCAGAGACACACACACACACACAACGCATATAGAGAGAGACACACACACATATCCACATACACATACACAACGGACCCAGAGACACACACACACACACATATCCACATACACACAACGCACACAGACATACACACACACACAGAAACACACATGCACACACAGACACGAGTTAGAGAAAAAGGCAGAGAAAAAAAAATCGATTGAATTCAAATGTAGAATTAATAAGGTGTCTGATGAAAGGAAAGGTTCCCTTGGGATTGTTTCCATATATCAAAGGGGACCGGCAGGGTGTTAGGGCTAGGCAGGGTGCTAGGGGACCGGCAGGGTGCAAGGGGACCGGCAGGGTGCTAGGGCCGGCAGGGTGCTAGGGCCAGGCAGGGTGCTCGGGCCAGGCAGGGTGCTCGGGCCAGGCAGGGTGGTGCTTCTAGATGTGTTAGTGTGAGGATGTGCCCACAGGCTTAGCTCGAGGGGACAGATTTCAGACTGTGTTGCGCTCGCTCCTAATGAGATGGCCCAGCCTCCTGCCAATCGCCGAGAACATTGGAAATCATGACATTCCCGCAGCTCCATCGTTCAGTGCATTCGGTTGTCTTCCATTTAACTCCTTGAGAACCCAAACCAACCCATCTGTCCTCCTGACAATATCGTATCATTCAGGGGGGGGAGGGGGGCTCTTTGTGTTGACAAGTTAGGATTTTTCTCATTTTTATTGTGAACTGACTGCGTATTTCTAGGCAAAAACGCCATCCGTCCAACCAACCCTTTGTTCCGCCATTGCTTTCCAGCCCTAAAACATTGGAACTCTCTCCCTCCATCCTTCTGCCTTGACTTCACCTTCGGCCGTGCTTACGGTCACCTCTCCCTGGCTTGGCACCGGGCTCCACTGCCGTTAAGCGCTCCGAGACACTACCCCCGCATGAGGAGTGCTGTACAAATGCGAGTTGTTGTCGTAGCTTATACCCAAATACTATCGGTACTAAATGTACGTGACTTTTATTCGATTCGCCCCCAAAAATATACAGTCACTGCACTTTACGGCGTATCCTGTGAAGCGCTTTGAGACGTCTCGAATTCTGAGCCTCTGTGTCAAATGTGAGGATTATTATGATGATTATTATGTTTCTCCTCACGCTGTGGTCTTTTTGTTGCCCAGAACCGGAAGCTGTGTGCTCACCCATGGCTGGAGATCTACCGAGGGGATGTGATTTACTACGTGTGCCCTCTGGCACGACAGGGAGACTTCTATGTCCCTGAACTGAAACAGGCGGAAAGGAAAGCGAAGGAGGAAGAGGGAGATGGACAAACTGACATTACAGGTATTTAACTAACCCGGACTGCAGATACTGGCAGCGACATTATTGGGTCAGGTCTTGTCTAAACACACAGCGAAAGGTTATCTCCTACCTAGCAAGTAGGAACCCGATCGTTAGTCGATTGGCGGATTGCCTTTCCGGGCCAGATAATAATAATAATAATCCTTGCATTTGACGCAGCGTCTTATCACGTCTTCAAGACGTCTCAAAGCGCTTCACAGGGTATACTGTAAAGTGAATTGACTGTGTATTTTGTGGGCGAAACACGGCAGCCAATTGCGCAGAGCAGCGTCCCCACAAACAGCCGTGGGTTGAGTGACCAAATTATTATTATTTATTTTTAAATGTTTTTAAGGAATTATTATCCTCGGAAAAAGCGATCCGCCAATCGACTAACAACTGGGTTCCTACTCACTGCTGCTAAACAGAGGCGTGTGTGTGTGTGGGGAGAAAGGAAACTTGCCCAACGTTTCGCCCAAACCTGGGAGTCGTCAGAACCATCTGGTCAGATTGGTTTGACCCTGTAACATCAGAGCACACTGGTGGGGGGTGCGGGGGGGGGGGTTGGGGGGCGGTGGCTGGAGGGACAAAGCCCAATTTGTGCCTTTTAATTTTGTGTTATAATAAGTTTATTAAGTTTATTAACAAGCTTCTAGGGGACTTCAGTCCGCTTTTTAATAAGTTGCTGGCATTGACTGTCGGGGCTGAAAATCCATTCTAATCTCTTCCAAGTAATCTTGTTCAGGTGCTTGTGTGCATTTGAGGGCTTCGGGGAATAGTGCGAGCAATAACAATTTAATCATTTAGATTCTTGTTTTATTTATAATTTATATTTCAGTGGTTGGGCATTACCTGGCCTGCTGAATCAGTGGGATCTTAACTGCAATGGACCACAGGTTGCTCAGGTTGTTAAAGTCCATCAGTTTCTCCTCTCTCTCTCTCTCTCTCTCTCTCTCTGATCAGGTCCAAGTCTCGCAAAATCCAGGGCAAAACTCCTGGGGGTAACAGAGCCCTGACTCACTCTGTGTTGCTCTGAACTACAATTTCACCACAGATTACTGAAATCATTGGACTCTAGATCTGAGAGGAAGGGTATTAACTCTGTACCCCTCACCCACGCTCTGACTATTAATATTAATAAAATCTCTCTCAGACAGGCTACTTGGATGTTTGATGTGGGGAATATAAATGTTAGTCAGTTGGCGCCGTATGTGGTGTGGCTACACCGTTGGGTTAAAGGCATATTGTTGAGACCGTATATAGCAGTAACTTTACAAGCGAGAGGATTTGGGTTTGATTCCCGGGCAGGGCGAAATGTTGGGCAAGTTTCCTTACGCCACACACACGCCTCGGTTTACCCAGCCGTAAGCAGGAACCCGGTGGTTAGTTTTTTCAGTGGTAATATAATCCCTTCAAAAATCTAAAAATAATAATAATAATATGGCCGCTCAATCCACGGGTGTTTGTGAGACGCTGCCGTGCGCAATTGGCTGCCGCGTTTCATCCACAAAATACGCAGTCACGAAACTTTACAATATAGTCTGTGAAGCGCTTTGAGACGTCACAAAGACGTGATAAGGCGCTGTAACAAAATGCAAAGATTATTACTATTACATCAAACCTGTGTGGTTAAGGGCTTGGCCTGGCAGGACATACCAGAACAGAGCAGAGTCGAGAGAGAAAGAGTTTTACTCTTGCCTGAGGTGGAAGGGAAGGTGGGTGAGATAGATGACAATTGAGGATTGGTGAGACAACAAGGAGAGAAAGCCGGTGTAACAGGCATCTTTGCAGGAGCTGATCGTAATCCTCAGTCCACTCTGCGAGAGTTATCTACAGAAGGAATGAATCACGCAGTAACGTGAAGTAAGAACACGGACGGGAGAAATGTTATGAAAATTAACTGAATGAAAATGAAAGCAAACGTGATGTAATCGTACATTACATACAGTACCTACGGAAACATTGTTCGCTGAGTTGGATCAAGGCCCTCGTCACTATTTTCTTTTGTCTGATCGCTAACCAGTGGAGCCCTGGTCTGCCTGCGTGCTGTGTGTTGCCCGAGGCACGGCCGGCTCTGTCTGGCTGAACTCTTGTTGCTTTATCAGTAGTGAGACATGTTCCCAGTGTGACAGGGATCAGCCGAGTGTATCAGTGCTTCCAGATCGCATTGCAGCCCGTCCCCACAAGGGCAGAGGCGACATACTGGAGTCCCGTAGCTCAGTGGTTAGAGCCCTCGCCTCGCAAGCGAGAGGACCCGGGTTCGATTCCCGGGTTGGGCAAAAACTTAAGTTTCCTCACTCCACGCGCACGCCTCTGTTTACCCCGCAGTGAGTAATAGCCCGGTTGTTAGCCGATTGGTGGATCGCTTTTATGCAGGTAATAACCCCTTCAAATAAAAAAGAAAAGAATAATTTGGTCACTCAAATCCACGGCTGTTTGTGGGGACGCTGCCGTGCGCGATCGGCTGCCGCGTTTCGCCCACAAAATACACAGTACAATTCACTTTACAGTGTAACCTGTGAAGCGCTTTGAGACGTCTCCTGATAAGGCACTGTGCCAAAGGCGAGGATCATGATAAGAAGTCGGAAAGGGTTAAACAGCGTCGGACAGTAACTCCAGCCCAGAATCAGCTGCCGTTTGTTACTGCAGCGTGAGCATCATCACTCTTAACTAGACAAGCAGCCACGGGATTAGTTGGAAAGAACTCTCGTTGTTTCCAGATCGTGCTGTGGGGTTTTCGAGAAAAAACAAAAACATTTTTAATTTAATTTAAAAAAAAAAATCCTTCCTGAACGATGAAGCTGCTTAGGTCAGGAGCCTTCCTTTCTCTTTTATTGGGTTGACTATTGTGGTCCCAGGTGGCATTTGCTGAGGATTAGTGAGACTGCAGAATGCAAAAGGCCTTTTGAAATAGGTCAGGCCAACTCCGCAGGGCTCTCCATCAAATACTGTTGCCATTCGATCCCAGCTAATTAACAACAGGAAGGGTCTGTCTGTCCGTCACACCCTCTGAAACCTGTGACCCAGGCCACCACCAATATCTCAAGTCGGTCATTGTTCTTTTTTTTTGCTTCAATAATAAAAAAAAACCTCTGTGTATAATGGTACTAACAATAATAATCCTTGCATTTGATGTAGCGCCTTATCACGTCGTTAAGACGTCTCAAAGCCCTTCACACAATTTACTCTGAAGTGGATTGACTGCACGTTTTGACTGCAAATTATTATTTTTTATTAACATAAACAGGTCTCTCGCTTAAAGCTTCTGTTTGCCTAGTGTTGCCGGTGGGAGAACCTGATGGTTGGGCAATCGGCTTGATCGCTTTCCGGGGAGTAATAATCCTCCCCACCCCACCAAAAGTCTGGTCACTCAATCCACGGCTGTTTGCGGGGACGCTGCTTTGCGCAATTGGCTGCCGCGTTTCGCCCACAAAATACACAGTCGATTCACCGAGTGAATCGCTTTGTGAGGCGCTTTGAGACGTCTCGGAAGACGTGATGAGGCGTTGCATCAAATGCCAGGATTATTATTGCTGTTGTTGACTTCCCCCCCCCACCCCCTTCCCCGCAAAGAAAGATCCGGTTAAGTCCAGTCTTATAATAAGGTTAGGAAAGAAAATGACTCTGTGAACGTGTGGCTTTTCAGACACGAATCGTGTGCGTTTCCCTGTTCTGCCATCGCATTCTACGGACAGTCTGTGACCTCATTGCTGCTGGAGATGTGTTTCCTCGAGTGCGAGGTGTCAATCACATCACATTATGAGGATGGAGTCAGACCTGCCTCTGATAACTGCTCAACACTGAAGGCAGACGCTCGCACTGATTTCCCTGAAATCTCACTAAACCCGCCACAAAGCGGTGCTGACACTGAGCGCTGGGGGAGAGTGGGGTCAGTGGGCTCTCCTGCGGACAACTGCTGGTTCCTCTCACTGTCTCGCGTTGAGCTTTATCTTCTGAGACACCGACATCCATGCCTCCTGGTACAACTTACACTGTGGAGATGTCTGTCCGACAGACACACACACGCACCCACACGCACTCATGTATCTTTCCCCCTGCTCCGAGCTGGAGAGCACTGAACTTATTTATGTCTTTATCTGCTTGATTTGAGGCAGACCAGGATGATTGCTTCGATTGCGCTTTATGACAGTGAGTCAAGTCTGCGACTTTAAACAAGTCACTTTCGTATCACTAATTACACACAGTTCCCCTCGCTCTCTTTTTCTCTCTCTCGTTTCACCTCTCGCAAGTCACCTTGGAGCCAGCTGAACTGGCTCCAAGGTGACTTGCCTGGCAACAGAATAAGGGAATGGAGCCAGCCCTCTGAGCGTGGGAACCTGGTTTGTTGGTCGCTTTGCAGATTGCTTTCCAGGGGATAATAATCTCGATCTTCCCCACCACCAAAAAATAAATTGTGGTCACTTCAACCCACGGCTGTTTGCGGGGACGCTGCTGTGCGCAATTGGCTGCCGAGTTTTGCCCACAAAATATACAGTCAATTCACTTTACAGTGTATCCTGTGAAGCGCTTTGAGACGTCTCGAACACGTGATTCGCTGTATCAAATACCGGGATTATTATTATTATTTGGTGATCGCTGTGGGAAGATGCAGATGTTGAGCTTGAGATTGGTTGAGGGCTGGTAAGTCACAGTGTACAACAGTCTGTCAATTCTTGCTGACAAGACTCACACGTGATTAATGGACAGTTGGGTGAAGTACCGAAGGGGGCCATTGAATTGTATCCCAACAGAAAGAAAAATAACTCAACAAACACATTCGGGACCACTAGAACACACCACAACAGATTACATTTGTCCAGGTGCCTTTCACTCAGGTACTGATCAGGAGGATAAGGAGAGAGAGAGAATGGAAAGACATTGGAGGGACAAAATTGACACTCAAAAAAAAACATTCAATTCGAAGCAACTGCACATCTCCGCAAAGCCTAGTTGGACACGTGGGCAAAATGGTGATGGACGTGAGAGCATTGTTATACAGTTGA